CTGAGCTGTGTGTGCCCCCACACTGTCCGGAGTGAGAGACTTGGGAACGCAGCTGCAGGATCAGAAGCTGGGGAATACCTTGGATTGCTGCAGGCACTGCCCAGCACCAGCTAAACAGACACCTCATCAGTGCTTTTCCCAGGACAAAGCCAGGAGCAGCTTCATACCAGCCCCTGTGAAGAGAGTTAACTCTTTCCTGGCTAAACCCAGCACAGCCCTTTACCAGAGAATTGACTGTGTGGGAGGAGTGACACACCCCTTCAAAGCAGTAACTGCAGTTACTGAGAACCTCCTCATCTTTTCTCACTAGCTGAGGCTATGCTTGGCAAGTGTGTAAACATGCAGGCTTGCACCAGACAATGCTGAATTTTCTCAACATGTCTCAGCCCAGCCTGCGCTGAGAGCGCGTTTGTAGGGCAGAGCTGTGTGTGGCTGTGCCCCGCGCTGCGGGAAGGGCGGTGTGTGGGTCTCGCATTCACCCTGCGGTCTCTTCTGTGTGATTTTCATGGGGGGGAACGCTGCGGCTGGGGCAGGAATCTGGAGCTGGTAGTTCTATTTATGGTACTGTCTGCATCAGTTTAGCCCTGTTCCAGCAAGATTCCTGGGCCTAAGAACTTAAGTGAGTACAAGTTAAAGATAGCAGTGAATTCCAGGTGTCTGACCCTCCGAATTGCATCCAGCATTTCTTCGACATGAGATGGGGAAAGTTAGACTGCTGGAATGGGGTTCCTGAGGGAGATGTTTCATGCCATTCAGCATGCAGCAGCTCAGCATTAACGCAGTAGGAAACATCTTGCATTTTACATCCCTTATATCTAGCAGATGTCTCACTGAGTGCAGGGATGTGTCATGTTCCCAAAACCTTTCCCTGATTCCCTTTCTTTCCAAGTCCCCTCTGTCCTCCCTCTCACTCCATGCCCATGTGCAGAAGACACTGAGGTGTTCTGTGGGGCAGCAACAAATCTCAGCAGAGAACTGGGGTATCAGGACCACCGGTTGGGCAGAGCACTCCCCTGCTGTGACCAGCGCGGTTCTTGGAGTTGTTCCGTGTGCGGGTCCGTGCTTAGCGAAGAACCATGCCTCGTGACTGGAAAGGTAGGGACTCCTTTGGGGTGGGGGGGAAATTAATCCTTTGAAGCTGAAGAGGGAAGCAGAGGATGCTGCCATTCCCCAACACAAATCTCTCACCACTGAGTGTGGGTTCCTGCCCCCAGCTGTCTTCTCAAGGAAATGGTGCCATCACTACATCTTGGAGTCTCGTCCTGGCAGCCTGCATTAGGGGTGTTCCAAGGACACCTTGGAGACTGAGCATCTCCTGGGACTTGGAGTCTTTTCTCTCAGGGGCTGTGACCAGTCAAAGTGATCTGGTCGCAGGTGTTCAGTTAGCTGGGGTTCTCACTGTGTAAAAGTGTGAAGTGCTGTGCCCCTATGGGGACTTTCTGTACTGATAAAAGCAGCTGATCCTTCCGTCAGAGAGAATGTGTTTTGATTAAGAAATTAGTTCATGTTGATGCCTTTTCAGGCCAGAGCTTCCCTTGGGTCCTATTCCATAAATTCAAAATGTCTTTGCATTGAAAACCTTCCCACTGAGTGTGTGGGACACTGTATCGGTCTTTTAAACCTGTGTATTTTAAAGCGTTAGTTTCTGCACCACAAGATATCACAGTTGTTTACCAGCATTGTCAGATTCATACTTTTAACATCTGGAAATCACTCTGGGTTTCCATTAAAATGCCAAAATGATAATACCTTCTAATCTTAAATTGTGGCTCTTCTGTTCCAAGCTCCCAAGCTGCTGAAGAAAATCCAAGCAGAGTTGTTCCCTGACTGCTCTGGAAATATCAATCTGTGCTGTCAGTTTGGTGATATTCACAGTGACTCCACCATTACATGGACTAAAGATTCCAAGCTACTCGCTCGCCTGCAGAGAAGGTGAGTGGATGTTTCTGTGGGCCTGGCAGTCTCTGGAGGGCGAGTGACAAAACACACCAGTGAGTGAGTTTTGTCCACTCAGAGGGTTGGTGTGATCGGTGCAAAAAGAAGTGTCAACAGGGTAGCTAAGAAGCGCGTCTTCACAGAGCACATCAGCGTAGGTGATGGTTGGCCTTCCATCAGCAGTGACTCCTCTCAGCCTGCCCCTGAGCAGCCTCATCCAGCGCTCCCGTGGTGTGGAAGGACAAGTGCAGCGTGCACCTCAGCACCCAGCCTAACAACGTGCATGGACTGGCTGTCCTTGCGTGTGCCAGTCGTGTGCTGGATCAGCTAGCATGCAGCACAGGGCCTGATGTGATTATTCCGCAGTAGCCATACAGATGGGATGCTGAATGGATTCAGACCGGCCCCACAGAGCAGGACTTGGGACACTGGTGAGCAAAAAATTGGATGTGAGCCGGCACTGCCCGCTTGCAGCCCTGACAGTCAATCATATCCCAGGCTGCATCACCATCCTTTATATATTTGGCCATGATATTGATAGGAATACTAGAATGCCTTTTGGTGTGATGTAATTATTTCTGGATTTGACTTTTCTCTTGGAATGCAGTAGGATCATCTGTTGTGAAACACAGAATAGTCTGACTGCTTCTATGTAGGGCGAAATTACCTATTTTTTCTACTTGCATCGCATTCGAATCAGTCTTTGCAGTGAGGGACAGAAGTTCCAGGGACAGGAGGAGAGGCATGTGGAATAATCAGGAAAGATGCTTTAACAGTATTACTGTGGAAAATCACCACGTTCTGTTTCAGTGCCCAGGATGACTCGCCCGTCTCGTTGGCGATAGCTAAAGCCAGTAACAAGGACCAGGGAATGTATTATTGCTGCTTGAATAATCCGTACGGAAAGGTGACTGCTGAGTTTAATCTGACTTCTGAAGGTAAACCCCAGTTTATAATTTCAGTTAATGACAATGGCAGTCTCCATTCATGGGGTTTGTACTACAAAATCAATTTCTTTGTTTCCTCAGTATTGGAGCATCTCTCAAGCTTTCAGAGTTGTGAAGGTAAGTGCGCATACCTTCTTGTATGTGTGCTCAAACCTTTGTTCCTTCTGGTTTCCAAATGGAACAAAGGATGGAAAAACATAACCACACAGACATTTACAGTTATGCCTTATGGGAATGACCTTTCCTTATGGGAAACTGAGAGAATCTCCCAAGGCCACTGAGTCAGTGGTGTGGCTTTGCTAGCTGTCTTTCCCTGCCTGCACGCAGCTTTGCTGTACCATCAAAGATAAAATACGCTGTAACTCACGGGGGTTGTGTAGGTGAAATGCCCTCATGGAGGACAGAGTGGTTTGTGCAGGGTGTGGAGTACCCGCCACGACACACCGGAGTTGACCTTGACTGTGTGAGTTCATGTGAGCTGGATGCGCTTGCGCTCCACGCCAAAAGAGAAACAGCATTGTGTCGCGCTTTCCGGGACAGACACGGTGGTGAAAGCTCTTTTGGCAGAAAAACTTGCCAGTGGTGTTTGAGCACCTGGTCTTTGCGAATCACCTGCTGTGTAACTTAACTCCAAGAGAAAGATGGGTATGAGGATTTGGAATGCTTTCCCCACATGTTAACATGTGTTTAATCACACTCAGCATATGTCTTGCTGTGCCACAGCTAAAGATAGGGCCTTGCAAACTGGTTTGTGGTTTCTGAGCACTCCCCACTCATCAAGCACTTCGGTCAGCCAATTGATTCTCCTCTCTGTTTCTGGAAGAGTAAAGGTAAACATTTAGTTCCCTGTTAACATGAAGACAGTAGTTTTCATGTAACAGCACTGTGTAACTTCTGATCAACAAAGAATTTTAGGTAGAGTTCGGAGCCTTCTAATTCCCATTTATATGTGTGTGCAGTTTCCTCTGTGCTTGAAAGAGAAGCCCTAGTGTGGAGCCTACCCCGGGGTTAGCTACAAGGGGGCTGGAAGGGCTTCCTTGCTGTGCAGTACACACCTCTTCTTCTCCTGTTTACCTTTTCCACTCATGTTCCCTGAGATGTGGATGGAGACATGTCAAGGGCAGTTAGAATTTTTACTTTCTCTCAGTGCTTAACCATAATCACTTCTTCCCCTTCCCACATTTCTTTTTTTTTTTTGGCATTTGTATCCCAGTGTTCATTTAACAGAGTGAAACCCATAATCCTGCTCAGTTTTGGCTGTAACAAGCTTAGGCACACATTCTCATACTGCTGTTACCTTCACAATCCACAGGTGGGGATAAGGGAAATATTTCTGTACCAGTTTCTCCTGAATGTAAAGATCACTCAGACGGATGTATGTGCTTGACTGAAACTGGCGTGGTCCTTTACAGTAACGTGGGTCTTACTCAGCATCGCTTCTGAAATAAAAATCTTGTTGTTTTCTTCTACCTTCACTAATGAACCTGTTTTTAAACTGGTGCTTGACAGATTGCACAGACCTTAACAATTTAAGATGCCAGTCTGCAGCACTGGAGGGATGTGAGTGTGTTTGGCGCTGGGAGAGGCATGCTTCTGTCATGGTCACGCTGGATAAGGACCGAGACCTCTTCCATCTGCCTGCCTCTACGAACATGTTCGCAGAATCTGACCCTGAAAATGTTCCAGTCTGAAAGCCAAAACCAGCTCTGGTGGTACCAGCAGCTTCTGGCTTTTCTGAAAGGCTGGCTTCAGAGGAACGTGCTCTGAGCGCACTGGGCACAGGCCTGTGTTCTGCTTCTGCGCTGGTATCTGCACACACTGCTGCATGCCAGCTTTATCACTGCCTGTCTTCCCAAGGGAGCAGAACTGCAGGATCTCGGTGTTCCCTCAGTGTCTCTTCAGCCAGCCATCTAGCTGCGCTTTCATTCCAGGCTTCAGCTTGCAGCTCCACTAAGAGTTGTAAAAAGAGCTTTTGTGATCTTTGCCCCTGGCTTTGTTTGCCACCCTCAGTGTTCTCTCTCATGAGCCGGACCTGCCACCTCTCCCCGTGCTGGCGTTCGACGGTACAGGTGGCAAGCTGTTTAGTGGAGCAGGGTCCCAGCCCGTACTGGCCCGAGTGAGGCTGTGTGGTGTTTTCTTAATACCTGGTGAAGAGATGCGATCATTCTCCCCTGTCCACTTCGTGCCAAGCGATCACAGCAGGATGTTGTCCAGAACCAAGTGGCCTTGTGTTTCAGGTGTGGAGGAGATTGAATTCATGCAGCTCATGTTCAGAGAAGACTTCATCAGCGACAGCTATTTTGGTGGGAACCTGCATGGAATAATAGCAACAGAAGAGCTGCACTTTGGTGAAGGCATGCACCGGAAAGCCTTCCGCAGCAAGGTGATGCAGGGCCTCGTGCCAGTGTTCAGCCCTGGCCACCCCTGCGTTCTCAAAGTGCACAACGCTATCACGTACGGGACCAAGAGCAAGGATGACCTAGTTCAAAGGAACTACAAATTGGCGCTGCAGGTAATCTTCCCCTGTCCTTTGCAAGCCAGAATTGCAGGGAAAGCTGGCTAGCAGATATTGTGACAGGCAATCTGTTTAGTGTTTTGAGCAATATTCCATAGATATATCCATTTGTAATCTAGGAATGCTATGTCCAAAACACCGCACGAGAGTATGCGAAGATATATGCAGCGGAAGCCAAACCCTTGGAAGGTTTTGGGGAAGTACCAGAGTGAGTATATGTATATTTTTATACCCACACACACACATATGTGTATACGTGTTGTTCTGCACCAGAGCTGCGCTGACTGCTCGAAGTGGTGACTGAAGGAGTCTGAGAGCTGCTACAGCTGGAGGCATGACCTGAGTAACATGGTGCCAAAGCGGGAGAGAGATTCCATTCCCGTTGGAGAGGGATAATAAGGAGTAAAGGCAGTAAATAGCAGGCAAAGGCATGATTTTGATATAAATGCAGAGGCAATTATTTGTATTAGTAAGGTAGGACCAGTGGGTGATACTGCTAGTGTCGTCTAAGATCAGCTAGCTAGTGCTGCCAGCTGACCCAGCTCGCAGCAGGGTCAGGTCTGGCCTTCTCCCTTCCCATAAAAAATGCCCTGGAGAGAGTCCTGATGGTTCTGATGCTCATGTAAAGTCACTCACCCCTTAGGCTAGTTTTCTCTGTAAAGAGAGGCTCAAGCCACAAGGCTCAGCTCTGGTTCTAGGTTTTCCCAGGCTGGTTTATGTCATGTCAGAAGTTTTCCATTTCTGGAATGTGTGTACATCAGACTGGTAACCTGCATGGGTCCAGCTCTGCCTGACACTGGGAAGTTGCACGTGGAGGATGTGGTAATGGATCTTTTTAAAAGAATTTGCTGTTCCAGTGTCAGGCTACCTGTAGAGTTGAATTTGCAATGGTTGGATGAAATTCCATCTGGCTTGCTTCAAGGATAAGACCTCCATGCTTGACTGCAGGCTAAATCTCCATTTCAGTTTAAGTGAAGCGAGATCTTCTCAGCTCAGCTCCAATTAACCAGCGAGCTGTTTATGTTCCTTTCAGTGTGCAGCAACATCAAACCATACGGGGCCCTATATACTAATAAAAGCTGTTCACTTCAGTGGTACTGGTGGAGTTAAGGTGACACCATACCTTGAGGGATTAGGTTAGGACTGGACAAGTGCCTGCAGTTGCAGCCATTGTTCCTTAGACAGAGAATAACTGCTGGTATGAAGGCCATTTTTACCAGTTTAACTGCACGTGCTGTAACAGTACAATATCATAAGCCCCAATAAACTAATGGCATCAACAAAACTTGATGGTGGACTGGGACTGAAAGTGTTGTACCGAAATGCTCTGGTTAAATGTGCTTCTTTGTCCCGTGACTAATTCTTCCAGGCCCCCTTTTGGTGTATACAGAACACGTGTGTACATTCATGATTAAAGGCATGTGTTAAACCACCACGGTGAGAAAGCAAGTAGCCAGAAGCCTGTTTTGTGGGGACAGTCGTTCCCCTTGTTGTCCTGAGTTACTGCCAGGAGCTCTTGTGAGCCAGCTGGTAAAACACAGTTATGTTCGGTTACCAGCTCCGGAACTTTCCAAAATGGCCGTATCTCAGAGCAGTAATAAATTCCACTCTGATACACACTGATGTCCCTGTTTTGCTTACCCTGAGGTTTCAGTTTTGGAGATCTGTACTGTAGTATGAGAGTGCTGCCTAACAAGAATGCTGGCGTTTTCCAGCAGAGTCCAAGAAGCAGATGTGAGGTGGCACACTGCCTTCCAGACAGCAGGGACTTGGGTAACCAAGAAGTTCATGTTGCCAGTGAGACAGAAACTTCCTTCCAGACTAGGGTCATTATTGGTCCACATTCAGTCTTTCTCTCTGAGAAGACCAGGAAACCCCAAGCAAAGTTGTGTTTGATACTGGATGTGAGTTTTTGGCATGGTCCATCTTTAGACATAAATGGACCTTGGGTTTTGGGATGTCAGAGGACAACACTGGAAAGCAGGCTTTGAGAAAGTTTACCTCTGAGTAAATAATACAAAGAAATAAGTGCACAGAGGATAATGTGGTTATGTTCCACAGCTACCTGGAATATCCAGATCTTATCCAGCTGTCTCCTGGGTTGGTTTAGACTTGGTAGCTGTTTATTCACTCTCTGAGATCACTGGCCACTTTGTTTCTTATTCCTTCATTGACAGAACTCTGGATTTTATTAGTTTTTATCCCTTGATTTCAGGATCATTCCTATTTTTCTTGTTCATCGGCCTGCTAATAACATCCCCTATGCAACAGTTGAGGAGGAGCTGGTTGGGGAATTTGTGAAATACTCTGTAAGGGATGGCAAGGAAGTAAATTTCCGGAGAAAAGACTCCGAGGCTGGCCAGAAGTGTTGCACCTTCCAGCACTGGGTGTATGAGAAGACCAATGGGAGCTTGCTTGTCACTGACCTGCAAGGTGAGTTGTCTGAGAGGGGAAGTAAATGGCTTTCCCATGGCACAGGCTAGTGACACTCACAGTCCCTGTAACTGCAGAAATTTGAGAGACTGATTTCTGAGCAATGTTATTCCTGGCCTTCTGCATCCTGCTAACAATGCAGAATGTGCTGCTTCCAGACTGTGAAATGTCAGAGTAGAATTGTTTAGGTTGGAAAAGGGTCCAACCGTTACCCCAGCAGTGCCCAGCCCCCACTGACCCATGTCCCTGAGCACCTCGTCCTCACGGCTCTGAAACCCCTCCCGGGGTGGGGACTCCCCCCTCCCTGGGCAGCCTCTTCCAACTCTTGACAGTCCTTTCTGGGAAGGGATTTCCCCAATATCCAAATAAATTCTGTGGCCTATAAACTCTTGTGCTGTCCCTGTCAACAACTAGTTAATTTAAATTACAGAGTATAAAAAGAAATAGTATTAATTGTTCTGTCACCTGTATTTGGCCTGTACTTATTTATTCCTATTACAAAAATACATACCCTAACATCTAGCCTTCTCTCCTCACAGGAATTGTGCTCCAGCCCCTTCCCCAGCTCCGTCTTCTCCACATACAGGCAGTACCCTGGCCCATACCCTGTTTCATACAGCACCTCATGCAGGTCAGAATAAAAGATAAAGGGGAGACTTAGGATATTTTATTTTCTAGCCTCTTTGAAGTGCACCGTGTTAATCTCTGTGTGTTACCCAAGGGAACAGAAAGACAATCATTACCTGCCGACTGTGGCAGCAGGGGCAAACATGTATTACCTACGCGGTATTGCAATGTTCACCAAATCAGCACAGAAAGGGAATTTTCACCTAGCTTATGTGCTTGTAAGAAGACAGTTTGGAAAAGAAAAAACAGATCTTACACTCTTAAAGGAAGTTATGCATCTGCACCACAAACCCCATAAATAAATGCGTCCCTCTGGGGCCAGGTGGGAAAGCAAAGGTTGTGCATGTTTAAAATGCAGCCATAAAGAGCAACCCCCCCTTCCCCACCGACTGCCCAGCACAGAAACAGGTTACGCTGTAGTTATCACCGTGTGGTCCGTACGCTGCTGGTGTGAGACTGGCTGCCAGAAACTGCTACTGGTGCAGAGCACAAACACCCGGTTTTCATTCGGGGTACTTCCGCGTGTTTTGAAAAAGTGGGGACAAATAATTAAGCAGGAGTCATTAAAGACTGTGTAATGCCACTATATATGGTGATCTTGTATCTGAAGAAATTCCTAAAAATCCGAGTGTAACGTGAGCTCTCTGTTTCCCTGATGCCTTGTAGGTGTAGGAATGAAGTTAACGGACGTTGGCATAGCAACGCTGGCCAAAGGGTGAGTGAAAAATAATTTCGCTGCAGCATGGTTTTGCTTTACTTCCCAGTCTCTTCACAGGGTAAATATGCTGGGGGAGGGTGCACTGGACATTTACTCTTGCTTTAACTTTGGAAGAAAACAGTCCTCATCTGACTCATTTAACTTCTTTTTGCTCATATTTATGGGAACCTGCCTATAAGGAAAACACATTTATTTGGTTGTAAAAGGATGGGGCTGCCCTGTAGATTGTGCTTTGCCTCCGACTAGATCCTGCCAAGGTTATCCTTCCCCCCTGTTCTTCCACTGGAAAAGAGAGGATGGCCAGCACAGTCCCGTGGGAACTAGGGAAGGAGATGCCCTGAAAGGGGCCAAAGGAATTGCCCTCTTTGGAAGGAATGCAAAGGGATGGTGCAGGGACTGCATGAGGGAGCAGGGATGAAATCCCTATTGCAGTCAGCAAAGTGCCAAAGCGTTATAGTATGTATTTGTCACACAAGCTTTGATAAAGGGTGTTGTCTCAGCTTACAACTCTCTGGGTCAGTTTTCTCCCTGTAGCAGGCAGTCACCACAAGCGTTTCTTGAGCCCCTGTTCTTATCAGCTGCATGGGCAGGGAAAAGGTCTGTTGAGCTTTGTATAGGACACTTAGATAAAAAAGAAAATGTGCCAAAGCGTTATAGTATGTATTTGTCACACAAGCTTTGATAAAGGGTGTTGTCTCAGCTTACAACTCTCTGGGTCAGTTTTCTCCCTGTAGCAGGCAGTCACCACAAGCGTTTCTTGAGCCCCTGTTCTTATCAGCTGCATGGGCAGGGAAAAGGTCTGTTGAGCTTTGTATAGGACACTTAGATAAAAAAGAAAATGTGTCAA